CTCCCCTCCTCACTCCTTTTTTTGTCACAGCTCAATCGCATCGCACTCGTCCGACTTCACGGTGGTATGCTCTTACGCCGGCTCCTATTATTCCGCACCGTCGCCGTGCTCCATGTGTGATTCTTGCACATGTATGCAAGCCGACACGCTGACTCGTATTCCTACATATGTTCCTAGTTCTGGTGGCAACCCCTTGCTGCAATATCAAATATCTCGGACATCCCCTTCTGCTGATACTCATCCTCGTCCTCTTCGTCCCCGCTCCATCTCCCTTACCATCCTCCCCCTTCGTCTTTTCGTCACCACTATGCCCACCCTCGCCATAATCATACTATCAGAATCATCGCCAACATCATATGTTTTACCATACGTAGTCATACACTTCAGCTTGTTCATCATCCTTCTTGGCCGCCCCTCCTCCTGCTCCCACTCGCACTTTAGTCCCAACCATGCCCTACTCCGTCTCACACCTGCTTGCATTCGTACTCCAACTAATGTGCCCACTCTGATTCGTACTAATCGAACTTAGCATGCTGACTTTTATGTTCCTGCTACCGCTTTCGCACCACTCCCACTCTTACGATGTGCTACCTATTACCCGATCATTACGACTCTCGCCACTGTTACAACGTCACCCTTGCAACAAATACAACAGCCACTGCCAGTCGTCCTACGTCATTCATACTTCACATTGTGATTTCCCTCATCTTCCTGCTGCTCCATACGCTCTCCTCTTCCTCCTCCTCCTCCTCCTCCTCCTCCTCCTCCTCCTCCTCCTCCTCCTCCTCCTCCTCCTTGTGAGGCCTTTGAGAAGACCCCAGAGACCTCCTGGTGTTGTCCCGCTTCGGGGCCAGCCTGCGGCCGTGCCGAGGCCTCTGGACAGATGTGTGGATGATCTGGAGCTGGGGCGAGACGAGGAGCGAACGTTCCGTGGAGAAAAGGACAACGGTGGCGCGCGGACCCGTGGCGTTGGAAGCCCGTGGCGGCCTTTGAAATCGAGCGGAACCGAGGCGGCGGACCCAAATCAACGAGCATGAAATGGAAGCCTTCGGGTGCAGTCTGCAGCGAGTCGAAGCGCGTGGAAGCAGCTGGGCACAAACGGGGACCCACTGTGACGATAGGGGCCAGATGCGAACCCTGCCCCTACACCCCACGATTTCTGAGGGGGAGGGTGGGGTTCACTTCGCTCGGGAGAACCCCACCCTCCCCCTCAGAAATTGTGGGGGGTAGGGGCAGGGTTCGCATCTGGCCCCCTAGACGAGCCAGAACTGCCAACGTCGAGCCGGAGCAAGCGGCATCGAGGCGGAGCAGGTGGGCACAGGCGGAAAAAGCGGCAGCCGAAGCAAAAAACGAGCCCGCGGGGTCGAGGGCGGGCAGCTCGTCGCAGTGGGGCTGCCGGCGCCCCCGGGTGGGCGGCCAGTCGGAGCCCGTCGGTGAGGGCCGCGGCGAGTGCGAGGTCCCTGCGGCCTGCAGCACGCTGTGAGTTGGGCGCGAATGTATATGGGAGCGATGAATTTGGATGGCAGATCATGGGAGCCCAGAGCGCCCTCTGAATCACGTCTTCAGCGCCGACTGGCGTCGAGATTAGCGTCTGGGACTCGAGGAGATAGCGCCGATTCAGCGTCGGTGAGCGTCGATTCAGCGTCGATGAGCGTCGATGCAGCGTCGACGAGCGTGTGATGGTGTGGGAGGCTCCCACGAGTTGCCACCTTCTCGGGCCCCCCCCTTGGCCCCGGAAGGGCCTCAAGGGCTCCCGTTCTGCCTGCAGCCCTCGCCGCCCCCCCATTCATCACAGTCGGGGCCCTGAAGAAGGAACCCTTTTCGTTGGGGAGGGGCTCCGCGTTCCTTAAGTGTTTCACAGCTTGCCTCAGGCTTTCCTTGTGTCTTCGACAGGAAATCGAAGGTTCACTTATGGAAACAAGGGGCCTCGTTCCTTATTTAGGGTTCCTTAGGTCAGCGCCCCGACTGGACCGCCCCCCCCGTGACTTCGCGCAGGGCGGGGTGCTCCGGCCGGGGGCCGTCGCGGCGAGCCGAGCTCCGGGGAAGGATCCGCGGCAGCTGCGTGGCGACGAGCCGCTCACGGGCTCAGTTTTGGGGGCGGTCGGTGTGCGATAGCCCGTGCCGGTGACGATCGAACAACACGCACCCATACCCATAGGGGGGACGGAGGAGGCTTAGCCTCCTCCGTCGGATGGGCCAAATATGGCCCAAGAGGCCACGCGAGGCCCCCCGAACGCCCCCAAATGGCCCCCAAGCGGCCCTTCAGAAGCACCCGAGACGCCCCAAGAGGTTTCCAACAGGTTCCAAGAGGCCCCAAGATCGCTTGAAGACGTGTCCAGGTTGCCACGTAGCCCAAATCCAGGAGGCCCACAAGAGGCCCAAATCCTTCCAACACCTAAAGCAACAACTTTGGGGATTTCGCCTGTTCACTTCCGATTGCCTTCCCAGGCCTCAAGATGGCGCCACGAATGCCCGAAAAGGGCCTCAAGAGGGGGCCAAGCAGGGCCCAAGACGGCCCTGGGAGGGACACGCAATGCGACATTAGAGGCCCCAGAGGGGGGACCCTGATTAAGAACCCCTCCTCATGGATCAACGAACGAACCGAAAAACACTGGGACTTTGATTGGTGTGGGCTTTTTCGGTTGCGGCCTTGGGAAGCGTTTGGCCCAAGAGAGACCCGAGAGGTCCCCAGATGCTTCAAGATGGCCTCCAAGATGCTGCAAAATACCACAAGGTTGGCCCAACCTGGCCCCCAAGAGGCCTCCGAGAGAGACCATAGTGGCCCCAAGATGGGTCCAAGTGGCCACGGAGACCCCAAAGAGGCCCCTAAGATGCCCAATTCCTTTTAAAACTTGAAAGAAAATCGCAGATTGTTGTATTCTCCCTCTTGCGCTTCCGATGGGCTCCCGGAGCCTCCGGATGGCTCCAAGATGTCCCACGGGGGCTCAAATAGACGCCCAATATTGCCCCAAATTGGCCCCGAGAGCGCACAAACGCACCCGCAGAGCGCCTCAAGAGGTCCCCAACAAGCGACTGTGGCTCAAGAGGGGCGCCGCAAAATAAGGATCCCCCCCTCTTTGATCGATCTGTTCCAAGATGGTCCCAAGAATGCCTCCGAGGCCTCCGACAAGGCGCAAATATGGCCCCAAAAGGCCACGCGAGGCCCCCCAAACGCCCCCAAATGGCCCCCAAGCGGCCCTTCAGAAGCACCCGAGACGCCCCAAGAGGTCCCGGGGGCCGCCAAGAAAACGCCAACGCCTCCCAAGAGATATCCAAGAGGCATTCCTCCCGCTGCTTCTCGCTCCTCCCTCATCCCCCCTCCTCTCATCATCCGCCTGCTCCTCATCCTTTTCCCTTCTTCATCATCCATCCTCCTCCTCCTCCCCATTCTCCTTCTCCTCCTCCTCCTCCTCCTCCTCCTCCTCCTTCGAACGATAACGGCTGCCTCTCTTCGTTCCGACATATCCCTGATCACCTCAACTCGGCTGGACGTCGTTTCTGGATGGGCTGGTGATCGCGCGCTGGCACCAGTTGCATTTGAAAAGCGTTAGGTTCTTCACTTGCAGGTTTGGAACATGATGCCCTTGAAGAGCGTGAGAAAGAAAAGGCCGCTCAAGTGCAACCGCTCTCGGCGCGGGGCCTGGCGGCAAAAAACCAAACGCGCCTCGACAGCAGCAGGTTCCAGTTGCTCTTGAAGTGCGCTTGGCTTCTCACCACCAGGTTGCGCGCCAGGGGCGGCTGCGTTTGACGGGCGGTTTCTTCCTCATTTGCAAGGTTGGGACATGCTCCCATCGAGGCGCGTGGGGAAGAAATGACCACTCAAGTGCAACCGCTTTCGGCCCGGAACCTGGCGGCAAGAAACCAAGCTCTTTTCGCTAACATTCTCCTAACGGGCGGTATCTAGCCAGCGTGCCTCCACCTCCCTCCTACGCCGCCTGCGCCCCTCCTCATCCTCATGCTGCTTATCCAACGCGTGCCCCCCTCAACTTCGCGATGATTTCTCTCTAAGCCTCCTGGATGGGGTCGGAGTAGATGGGGTCGGAGGATCACGCTGCATCGCCGATGCATCGCCGATGCGGTCCGATGCGGATCCTGATTTGCGTCGCGCCGACGTCGCCGATGCACCGCCGGCGTCTTTGATGCATCGCGGATGCATCGCCGATGTTTCGCCGATGTATCGGCGATGCGGCGAGATGCTCCGACCCATCTACCCGGGCCCATCCAGGAGGTTTCTGTTCTCCGCAGCCGCAGTCCCCCCTGCGCGTTACAGCGCTGGTCGCCGCGTCGTCGTCGTCGTCGTCGTCGTCGTCGTCGTCGTCGTTTCCAATCCGCGGCGTGCCGAAATCCAGGAAAAAACGCCAGATTGAAAAAACACATCCTCGGATCTCTGGGAGTGGTTTTTCACCCTGGAGCAATTTTCGATAGCCCCTGGGCCCGACGACGGGCCTCGAAGTCCAAAACTCAGAAGGGAAAACAAACAACGGATGAAAAAACAAACATGTTCGGATCTCTGGGTCGTCGTGTCCTCCTCCTCCTCCTTCTCTTCCTGCTCCTCCTCCTCCTGCTCCTCCTCCTCCTTCCCCTCCTCCTCCTTTTTCTTCTCTTCGTAGTCGTCTTCCTCCCCCTCCTCCTCCTCCTCCTCCTCCTCTTTCTCCTCTTCCTCCTCCTCCTCCTCTTCCTCCTCCTCCTCCTCCTCCTCCTCCTCCTCCTCCTCCTCCTCTTCCTCCTCCTTCCTCCTCCTCCGCCTCTTCCTCCCCCTCCTTACCCTCCTCTCCTCCTCCTCCGCCTCCTCCTCCTCCCTCCTCCTCCTCCTCCTCCTCCTCCTCCTCCTCCTCGCGTTCCCCCCCCTCTTGCTCCTCCTCCTCCTCCCCTCCTCTTCCTCGTCCTCCTCCCCCCCTCCTCTCTCCTCCCCTCCTCCTCCTCCTCCTCCTCCTCCTCCTCCTCCTCCTCCTCCTCCTCTCCTCCTTCCTCCTCCTCCTCCTACTGCTCCAGTCGTCCTCCTCTCATCTCCTCCTACTTTTCCCTCCTCGCCCCCACCCGCCGCCCTCCTTTTTCCTCATTCTCGTCGTCGTCGGCGTCGTCGTCGTCGTACGTACGTCCCGTCGTCGTCGTCGTCGTCGTCGTCGTCCGTTGTCGTCCGCTGCCGTCCGTCGTCCGTCCGTCCGTCCGTCGTCGTCCGTCCGTCATCGTCGTCCGTCATCGTCGTCGTCCGTCGTCGTCGTCGTCCGCCATCGTCGTCGTCCGTCGTCGTCGTCGTCCACCGTCGTCGTCGTCCGTCGTTGTCCGTTGTCGTCGTCGTCGTCGTCGTCGTCGTCGTCCGTCGTCGCCCGTTCGTCGTCGTCGTCGCCCGTCGTCGTCGTCGTCGTCGTCGTCGTCGTCGTCGTCGTCGTCGTCGTCGTCCGTCGTCGTCGTCGTCCATCATCGTCGTCGTCGCCGTCGCCCCTCTTCGAATTCGTCGTCGTCGTTGTCGTCTTCGCCGTCGTCGTCATCCGACGTCGTCGTCCGTCGTCGTCGTCCGTCGTCGTCGTCCGTCGTCGTCGTCGTTGTCGTCGTCGCCCGTTGTCGTCGTCGTCGTCGTTGTCGTCGTCCGTCGTCGTCGTCGTCGTCGTCGTCGTCGTCGTCGTCGTCGTCGTCGTCGTCGTCCGGCATTATTGTCGTCGACCGCGGTCGTGGTCGTCTGTAATCATCGGTGTTCGTCTGTGGTCATCGGTGTCCGTCGTCGTTGTCGGTGTCCGTCGCGTCGTTCGCCCCTGGTCGTGGTCGTCCGTGGTCGTCAGTGTCCGTCGTCGTCGTCGTCGGTGTCCGTCGTCGTCGTCGTCTCCTCCTCCTCCTCCTCCTCCTCCTCCTCTTCCCTTTCTTCCTCCTTCTCCCCCCACTTTTTTTTTTCCCCCCGGCTGACATGTTTTTGCCCACGGCCGTCGAGGATCGAGGCAGGGCGCTTTTGGGCGTTTTCGGTGAACTTTGGCCGTCGTCGGCTTCCAGGAGCCCAGGGGCCTGCTGAGGCTTCGCGGGGGACACTGCCTGGCTAACCCCGACATTGCCCTGGCGCGGCTCCCATGCCGCGCCTTCGCGCACAACGAGTTTGGAGAATTTGTCGCCCCTTGGTTCCCAGCAGCTTCCTCTAAACAGCGGCAGGACTACTCACCCTTCCGCCTGGCTGTCTGCTGGCCAACGCGGGAAGAGCTGGAGGAGGAGGAGAAGGAGGAGGAGGAGCACGAGGACAAGAAGAGTGCGAGGACGAGAAGGAGGAGGCTGGGTGATGTTCGAGAGGACGAGGAGGAGGAGGAGGAGGAGGAGGAGGAGGAGGAGGAGGGAGGGGAGATGAGGAGGAGGAGTACGAGGACAAGAGCAGGAGGAGGAGGAGGAACTACGGCGACGCAGGGAGCCATAGGAGGAGGAGGAGGAGGAGCACGAGAGCGAGAGGGACAAGGACGACGAGGGCGCGGGCGCTGGACGATTTCGCCTGCCCGAGGTCGCCATCGCGAGCCTGCACCAGGTCTCTAGGGAGGGCGGCTGGGTCATGTTGCAGAACGTCCACCTGATGCAGGCCGCGCTTACAGTTACCTCCTCCTCCTTCTCCTCCTTATCTCCTCCTCCTCCTAATCCTCCTCCTCCTCCTCCTCATCCTGCTCCTGCTCCTCCTCCTCCTCCTCCTCCTCCTCCTCCTCCTCCTCCTCCTTCTCCTCCTCCTCCTCTTCTCCGTCAGTCCCTCCCTCCAGTCCTCCCGTCACCCTCCCTTCTGCCTCCTCCTCCCCTCGTTTTTCCCTGGGCCCCCGCCGCGCCATCTTCGCCAGGAAGGCAGCTACCTATCGGGTGGGGTGGGGGGGCCGGGAGACGTGGGGATGCCCTTGCCCGTGGGCGGCCGAATGCGTATCGTTCGTGGCATCGGATGCTACTTCCAGGGGGCCACGTGCGCCCCCCCCCCCCCCAGAGATCGATGGGGGCTAGGCGTAGGGTTCGCACGTGGCCCCCCCTGGTTGCTCCTGTCCCTCACCCTCCCAAACCCGTCCTCCCAGCACGATGCCTGCTCTCCCCTGGCATCGCTCGGGCGTGTGCATTTTTTCCTCGGTGAGGACCATCGAGAAGCGTCCTTGATCATTTGGCGAAAACCACGCACGAAAACGAACAAAGCACGGGGAAGGGACGTCCGAGCGATGGCCAGCTCCTCGCCCTGGGGGGCACGCGCGCGCTCCCCTGCCTGCACCTGCCCTTCGCCCTCCCGAGCTCGCCCTCCCAGCACGACGCCTGCTCTCCTCGCCTTTTGGGGGGCGGGCGCGCGCGCCGACCGCCCGCACGCACGTCGCCCTGCGAGCCTCGCCCCGAGCTGTCGGGGCCCGAGTGTGCCCCCTGCCTTGCCCGGGAGGCGCCGGGGAGCTTTTTTGTCTCCCCGTCGGGGCCCTCTGAGCCTGTTGTTTTTTGGATTCAGGCAAGTTTACTTGCATGGCGTTCGCCCCCCCCCCCGCCCTCGCGCCTCTTCAAGCGAATACTAGCGTGCAAGTGCCTTTCGACTTGCGTGATTTCCGCGCCCCCCCCCCGAACGTGCAAGTCGTTTGCGGCTTGCTTCAGGCTCAGCCCACCCCCCCCGTCCATGCAAGTAAACTTGCCAGAGTCTAAAAAAACAGGCTCTCTTCGACTAGACGTAAGAGTGACCTTTCGCCGGAGTGACCTTTGGTGCGAGCCCAGTGGGGTCCCCCCGATCGCAGAACGCGACGCGAGGGTAGCGGTTTCCGCGCTCGTGGTTGGTCCCCCCGCGGCGCCCCAGAAGCCGCGCACCAGAGGTCACTCTTACCCAGGGTCGCTCTTGCGTGTAGTCGACCTCTGTCGGCGAGGCGTCGGCGAGGTCCGTGCGTGCGCTTCCCCCCCTGAGCGCTCAGGAGTCGGGCGCGTCCCTCCACAGGAGGAGGGTTCAGAAATCGTCAGAGCACGGTCTGGGGGCGATGCTTCGACGATTTGTTAGGCGGTTCTTGCATCTGTTTTGACCATGTCTCTTGTTTCGTCCAAAAGCCGCCCGTAGGAGAACATGCCCGACCTGACCCTGAGCCCTTCCGTCGCCCTGTCTCCATCTTCCTTCCCTTCTTTCCGTCTGGTTTTTTTTTGTTCCCTGGCTCAAGCGAGTCTCGCACACGGTGCCGGCTTGAGAAGACATAAGATTTGTCCTGCCCTCTCCCCCCATCTTTCCTCCCTTTGCTGACCTCCCCCCTTTGGTTTCCCGTCGTTCTCGTCCCCCCCCTCCGCCCCCCCCCTCCCTCTCGCTCCTCGGCTCCTTCTCCTCTGCCCTCCCTCTGCCAGATCTCCACGACCACCCAATCTGAGCACTGCTCTCCTCTACTTCCCTAAGGCGGCGCCACGGAGTGGCCCGCCCCCCTCCGCGTGCTGTTCTTCACGCAGGGTGTCAGTATGTGTGTTCCGCTGACTTGTGCACAGTCTGGTCGTGTTCGGTGTGGCGGCGCGCAGAGGGGGGGGGGGATAGGGGGACGGGGGAGGGCTTCTTGGAAGGAGCCTGCGTCTTGGAGGGCGCAGGCCTTACGTCCAGCCTGCGGACGACGCCCGCGCCTTCTGAGAAGCAGGGTGCTCCTAAGAAGCCTTCCCCCCTCCCGGAATACCCCCCTCTGCGCGTGGCCAATCGGTCCTTACAAAAAGTGCAGCGTGGGCCTCATCGCCAGATCGGCGCACTGCTCCCGTCGTTCACTATGGCAGCTTCGCCTCCGCGCGGGCCTCTTTGCCGGATCCGACTCTCTCCCCATCGCTGTCGCCCGCCTGCCTTTCCCCTCCTCCGCCTGCCCCTGGTCTTCCTGCTTCTTCCGCTCATCAAACTCCAGCTCCTGCTGCGTCTGTTTGTCCTCGTCATCCTTCTTCTCCTTCTTCCTCCTCCTCCTCCTCCTCCTTGTCCTCCTGATCCTTCTCCTGCTCGTCCGCCTCTTCCTCCTCCAGTGTGCGCAGCCTTCCCCTCTTCCGACCGCGCACAACACGAGGGGGCCCTCCGTTGAGTTCCAGGTCCGCTGCAACACGCGTCCGCTCACAGAGAGCACATCGGCGCCATGGGAAGGATGGGGGGGAGGAGCAGGATGCCACCTGTGGCGCGAGCGCACCCAGCTTGCCTCATCCCCCCATCGTTCCCCCCGCCCCTCCGTGCCTCCACTTCCAGCCCCAGCGTGCCACTGCCCCAGGGGCTCGGCACGGCCTGCACGCGGAAGCGGGGGCGGCAGGCGGTAACGAGCTCGCCGAAGGCATGTGCGATGTTCCCCGCCTTCAGGGGGACGTATAGACATGTCGCGTGTCCGCACCGGCCCACCTATAAACGAATCCGAGGAAAGTGGCTTGGACTGGGGGAGTCTCGGAGCAGGCGCTGACACAAGCAGGCCGGGAGGGGGGAGGGGAACGGGCGCCGTATGACGCCTCAGCCAGCTATGACGACTGTTCGGAGACAGCTTTCAGACACGCGTGAGTCCACCGCGGACGCCGTAGTCTTAACTGATTTCTCTGGAGATTCGGAAATAGGTATCTCGACTTCTTCGGGGAGCTGAGCCTCCTTGTGAAATGCCTTCGCTTCTTCCGACCATTCGGGTAGGTGTGAGGAAGACGTGGAGGATACGGATACGGGGGGCGCGTTTTGCCGGTTTCGGTTCGGAACTCCCTCGTCGCACGTTTGACGGGCGCAACTCGGAATCTCTGTTGCGCGTTTTGCTGGATTCGGTTCGGAAGCTCCTCGTCGCACGTTTGCTTGGCGCAGCTCAGAATCTCTGTCGCGCGTTTTGCTGGATTCGGTTCGGAAGCTCCTCGTCGCACGTTTGCTTGGCGCAGCTCAGAATCTCTGTCGCGCGTTTTGCTGGATTCGGTTCGGAAGCTCCTCGTCGCACGTTTGCTTGGCGCAGCTCAGAATCTCTGTCGCGCGTTTTGCTGGATTCGGTTCGGAAGCTCCTCGTCGCACGTTTGCTTGGCGCAGCTCAGAATCTCTGTCGCGCGTTTTGCTGGATTCGGTTCGGAAGCTCCTCGTCGCACG